TTTGAAAGTAACAGCGGGGAAGAGATAACCATCTTCTAAGGGGTTGGGGGGGTGGATCAGGAGCGGCCCAGCCTGTCGGAATCCCTCAACTCGTGTGTTTCACTTTCATGATGAAGCACGGCCTCGGGTGGGGATTCCTGGGACGGCACCTCGCTGGGGTCTGCTAACAGAGCTCGGCCCGACCGCAGGGCCCCTGGTCTGTCCGCACAATGGCCACCCTGCGCCTCTGGCAGAAGGGCACAACCGCCGCACTGCAGAGAGCAGGCAGGAACGAGGCCGGTGTGTGAGTAAACCTTCCTGATGTGACAAGTGGAGGACCAATGCAGGTGGCACGCTGCTCAATGATCACAACTGAAACATGTTCAAACCCACCGATCAACCAATCCATCAATAGCAAAACTGTTGCACGGAACGTTTCAGAGTTCTTCACGCGAGCTAAAAAAAATTAAATTCAGTAAAAAAGCAGAGGCAAAACCCAGTTTGGAAATTAAGGCCGGAGGTGACAGGGAGCCTGGAGTAAGACACATACTGTACCACCTATCATTCCACCAGTAAAGCTAACCATCGCTGGCACCATGCTTTCGACGATTAGAAGTTCTCAACAGTGCAAAGACAGTCCATACATATTAATATTGGTCATGTTTTATATTTGTCTGTTAAAGCAAATCAGAAATCCTTGGGTCAGAGAACTATTAATGAAACGTAAGCCTCCGATTTGGATGCAATACGAAGCATTTTCTGCTGGATTAGCACTGACCTAACTGCAGATCCCTTTGGTCATGCCCTTACTCAGGGCTTAAACCTCTCTTTCTGTGCTCCCAGAGGAGGCCCAATCTCCGTGCTCGGTGGGACAGCTCCCTGCATCCTGAGGGAAGAAGCCGCCGCGACAGCACTGCCGCTGGGAAGCCTGTCTTCAAAGGGCTGCTGCCTGCCTCTCCTGTTTAATGGCTTCGGCTGCCCTCAGGGTTACCGCGCACCACAGGTAACAGCAATGCAAAACCCTCAGATGAAGTGCTTAAACACTGCAGATGTTGGCAGACCTGTACTGTACATGCACACTGTCACCCTTACGTGCCGTAGGTTCAGTATCAACTGTTTAACTGTAACACAAGCTGCGCTCTGGATACATGTTAAAAGTGTAAGAGCAACTGTGATGGCCTCAGCAGACTCTTATGCTCACAGAGAGAATTCTTTTCCATTAACAGCTCAATACAGCACCCTGATCCCCCACTCATTTAATACTACTGAGCCCTTCAGGGCAATTTAGAGTGTGTGGATCCCATGCTAGATTAGGGTTAATAATGTATCAATAATGGGACTTTAATTTTCTCCTCCTAATGCCTTACTTTGTAATGGACATGCAGCAGTTACTCTGCTCTTTCACTTGTTGATATAGGTTTCTCTTCCCTCTGAGACATTTCCCAGCTTTTAATGAGATCTTTCATTCTTTTTAATCCTTCAGATTAATGACTGAGTCTTTTTCCATTGTAATGCTAAAGTTATGCGCTTTCTCATAAAATACCTGTAAATACTATACAATACTGGCTTTCCCTTACTCATCTGAAAAAAAACCATAATGGGATCTTTGTCGAGATAAATACATAGTGATTTCCAGTGAAAGGTTACGCCAGACATATGAAGAAAGAGATTAAAAAACAAATACAAAACAAAGATCACAACAGGGAGCCAGAGGAACAGGTATTTCAAAACACACTTTTAAGCAATACTTAATGGTAACGTTTGATACAAGATTTCACTGGGCTGCTTTGAAGGTACAGTAGCTTAAGTGCTGTTATTTTGTTTTTAATGCACAAGTTTCTTAAAACCTAGTGACCACGGACTCTAGACTGCAAGCTTGCCATAACCTCCTGAACTCTCTGCTTCACTGTAGGAATCTTGTGTGTCTGCCCCGAGCCCCAGAAGGACTGCTTTACTGTGCACAGCAGGCTTCAAACACGGAGGCTGCGCTGTCCCTAATGACAGAAAATGAAACTAAGCTGACACCATCTAAATCATCTCTAGATAATCACTGCCTTGTTTACAAATTACCTAGTAGCTCTTGCCACTAGACCCATTGTCGGGACGTGTCGTCCAGTTCCGGAAGTTCCAGTTCAAGCCAAATCCGAACAGTGCTGCAATACCCACAAGGCCATCGCTCAAGGGACTCCCACAAAGATTTCTGTTCAGACACATCGGCTCACCTACAGCGCCGGCACACAGACAGGCCGGGCAGAGCAGCTCGGGCACAAAACCGAAGTCAGTGCAACTAAGTGAAGAAGACTACAGAGCACAAGGAGAAGGTGAAAGACATTCACGAATAAAAAGTATAAAGTATTTAATTTCTACTTTTTAAATTGTTAATGGGGAAAAAAACTGTTTTGAAACAGCCCTCGCCAGCAGGCTGAAAAGGGATGGAAAAAGTCTTTCCTTTCCAATAAGGAATTTCTATGGTATTTAAAAAAAACATGCACACTGCCTGCATGGGGCATTTAATTAAAAAAACACTCGGGCAGGAATGCACGGTTAAACACAGCATATTAAAATAAAATGCTGAAGCCCGTGGTAACCTTCCTGGGAAAGTGCAGGGCTTGGTAATAAACTGGAGGGACTCCTGCTGGAAGCTTGATTAGGAGATTCCTGCTTAGAACCCAGTGGCAGGGCAGGCTCTGGCACCGCCTGTCTCTGCTCACTGTAACCCTTTCATTTCTTATTTATTGATTTATTTGCTCAGTCATGGAAACTCCTGATTAAAGGCTCATCTCCAAGGGTGCCTCTGTGCAGGCAGCACAGTGTAAGGTTTTCAAGCACGGCAACATTCAGCACGCACACAGGCTAAGAGTGGATTATCAAGTGCAGAAAAGATACCAAATCCATGAATGGAGACAAATGCAAGGCTATTACACTGGTGATAATAACAACACTCATTCATAAGCCCCCACTACAATTATTTATAACTGACACTGGGACTGCAAAAGCAGTTCTCAACAATTTTCTATGTTATGAAGGGATTAGAATAAACAATTTTGTTTTTAAGGTTTTGATCACGGTTTTCCAAAACTATTACTTGATATCTTGACGTGTAGCTCCAGCCTCACTCATGCTGTTATGGAATTATGGGGCCTTCTATTCACTGTAACAATGTTCATGTTAATACACTTTACATTCTGAAAAATAAGACGCATCGTCCTCAGGACGGAGAGCAGAGTTAACTGCTTACCCAGTTTAACCATACTCACACGATTTATCTCTTTTATCTTGAGGGTAAATCTGACATTTGCTAGAGTAAAGACCATGCACCCTAAAGCAGTCCCCACTGTAAACGGTGAACGATGGCCCTGCACTGTCTCCATGAATCAGATGGCTGCTCACAGACAGGACTCATCCTAGTGCAAAACACACCACAGCATATGGGAGTCAATATCAATCTTACTTCGCATTAAAGATCTTCACATCTCTGGGCACATGCACAGCAGATATTGCTGAAGACTGGAAACATTTCGGTTTGGAGTGTGCTTTTGTTGTAAATTGATAAATTGGACTCCAAATTCAAAAATGTTATTATTTGGCATCACTTTTAGAAAATCGTTATTAGCTAGTAATTATTCAATTGTTCTTTTTAAACTAATACTTATTATTAAGCTTTACTATGGAGACAAGAAGGCAGTATAGCTCCTCTTTGTAAATATACTTCAAATGTTACAATAACTAGGCTTATAAGTTTTCACTCCACAACCAAAGTCTGTTCATGATTCCACCCTGAACGACAAGTCCAAAAATAATTAAATGCATCAATTAACCAAAATCATTATGCGCTAGAATGGATGGGACAGACGACTGAAAATGTGAGGAATGCAAGACTGGAGCTCAGAGGGAGACTGTGTAAGACTTATTGGCTACTGGTGGGCAGATCTTTGGGAACAATGTCCAAAATGAGATAGGAGACAATAGAAATGAGGCATTTATGACTCTGATGTCACGGAAAACAAATGAAAGTCTTGCACAAGGACACTGATGTGGCTATAACCCCTCTTTGACATGAAGTAGAGGGCCAGACCAGGACCCTGCCTTTCTAAGGAGGAGGCAGCAAGAATGTAAGGGCACAAGCAGAGGGCACTGGAGCCCAGCAAGCCTTGTCCCATTCTGGCTGATTTACATCTGATCGCCAGTGCTTCACCAGGGCTCCAGGCTGTCGCCCTGTTCCCTACAGCAGTTGAAAGCACCGTGTCTCAGACGACAGCGACTCAAGATGACTGAGGCAGTGAAATTCCGCGCACGTTATCTTCTCATCCTCGCAATGGCAGCCAGATTGACTGGGCACTCCTGTCTGCTGCCCACCTTGGTGCTCCCTGCTCCTGCACTTTGACCTGTGAGACACCAACTCCATGGGAGCTGGCTGCAGCTCAGATAAGAACTTACTGTATGAGTGTGCGCGGCCACCTGTTTTGTCCTTAATGCTCTCTTAAAACATATAGATAATGGATATTTAATCATAGAAGGCCTTTTTTCACGTATGACATGGATGAGAATCCCAAAGGAATCTGCTCGTCACAGGCAGAGCTGTGTTCCACTTCAAGCTTCAGATTCAGATGTTCTGAAAAATGGCTAAGAACTTGCCTGCGCTGGATTTCTAACTGAATTCCTCCCCGGTTGGGAATATCTCATTAGAAAACGGGAAAAAAGCAAGTGGCCACCAATCCAGAATACTAAACGTTAACACAAAACACTGCACAACCCTGGTATACTGTCATTGAAACAGCTCAACATATAAATTAAAAAGTAAATACATACTGAAACGCAGGTCTATCGGATAAATGCACACCACCTCAGCTCATTTTCTCTCTATAAAGTCAAATCTATGATGGCTGGAATAGAGTTATCGCATCAGCTTGATTTCCTTTTTAATAATTTATTCTCTCCCACATGCAAAAATCCACTCTAAGTGCCAGGTCAGCAGGAAAGCAGGAACGCCAGAGGAGACATGAAGGGATCAGATGACTTACCGGAAGGTCCGAGGATCCGGAGCCGCCCGAGTCCTTAATCCCGGTCACCACTTCTCAGCCCACCGAGATGCAACGTCACCCTGGACCAGACCTAGCAGGACAGTTTCCAAAATGAACATTTCTTACAGGACAGGAGTGCTCACAAATGAGCCCTGCGTTCATTTTAATCTAGCCCACCAGAGGAACTGGTTTAGGGGATGCTGCCGACACTGCTGGTAATGGAGGTGCTCAAGAAGTAGCACTTTCCCTTCATGGTTTTATAACAGTGCAAGCATAATAACCCGCTTTCAAGGCAAACTGACACAAAATACAGATCTCACAATTAGGTTGCTGTGTACAGGGCTATTCCTTTGTGTGTTGGGGAGTCGGAGTTGCACTTTGATTAGCACTGTAGTTTTAAAACATTCAACAGGAAAACCTGGCATTACTAATCCATTAGCCTGATGATTTTTGCCATGTTAATTTTCTGAATGGCATCACTTCAGTAATGATATTGGACTGATGGTAGTAATGAAAGCTTATTGTTATCGTTATGATGTAAAAAAAGAACAGCACGTTTCCCTCTGACCTCTCGGCCGTACAGTGCGTCTGCCTTTACCCGTCGAGACGGGCCAGATGAAAACCAGTCTGAAGAGCCTGCAATCCTCTTAAACCTCTGGAGCCGTGACTGGAGTTACAATGACAGGAACACCGCTCTGCATGTCCCTTGATTGCAATTACGAGTTCGGTCCAGTGTGCAGCTGGGCCGGACCAGGGGCCAGGAGGTTAGCAAGCCGGTAGCCAGACACAGACGGGACACTTACCGCTGTGGCTCCAGAGCGACTACAGATTTACAGGGGCTGGGTACGACACCACAACGAATGCAACAGGCCGATTCATTTTTACAGCACAAAACTAAGATATTAAACCCCATACCCTGTCCTACTGACTTTGCACATGATCTCGACTCTTAAAACTTAATTTGTACAAACCCGTCGCCACCCCAGTTGCGTTCGGCGCAGTGAGGACATATCCTTCACCGACTCTTCATTTCCTGAAACGAATTTACGAGGATCAAAGATTCAGCCTATAAACTAACATAAAACCATACATCCTCAAAGACAAAATGAGCATCGAATCAGTTTGTCACAGTTTGTCCTTATATTTCGACGAAATATTAAACCATTCAGAGCTAATTCTGAAATTCTAATATGCCCAATTTGGCTCAATAGCTTATCTGCTGCTGTAGCAGTGACAATTATTATTGAGTTTTAACGTTCAGCGGGAAGTTAATTCGACGCTGTAATAATTACGTTTCACAAAATGTGCTAAGGAAATCGCTAAATTCAGCTGATCAGCACGTTATCTGGAAAATTCAATCCGACCCGAAGTCCACCCGTAACAATATGGTACAAGTGCACCACCTGGTGACGGACACTAAAACTGCAAGTTTGCGGCTCAATTTCTCGAGTTTAAATTTAAATATTTGACAAAGAATGAGTTTTTGACAATATTATTTTGTCAGGACTGAAGTTTCTTGGTATACAAGGCTAGAGTTGCAACACATATAGCAGTGTAGTAATAAAGACGTTTCTTTAACTGTCGTGTTTTGACCCTCAGTAACCCAACAGACTCGCTTGCTGCTTCGATGAATTGGAAAATGATCCCTCCTTCTCAGCCTGAAGGGCGAATCGAGACAGGTGTCTGATAAAAGAGATTTCATGCTATTCCTCGTTTTTAAATGCATCTGTAGATGATCCCTTGATACAAAATTAAACTTGAGACAAATGTGCAAAGACCTTTTCCCAGTTAAGCATTCACAAAAAAGGGCGTGATAACGGTTGGTTTTAGGTCACTGTACAGTCTCGGAGTTCCCCCTACTAAGGACCGAGTTCACTCGAGCTCCAAATAAAGCAGAGAAGGGAACAGATTCTGTACAAGAAAAAAACTATAAAGAACTAGGTTACGCTCGACGCGTGCAAGATCAAACGGTATTCTTTCTCACTTACGGGATCCATCAGACCGCCATCCAACATAACAGCGCTCTCTAGTGGGGAATCTCGGTACTGGCACAACGGAGAACGACAGCTCCATGTCGGAGAGGACATTCCGCGTGTAGCTGGGAATATCAATCACATCACCTGCAGGACCCCTTAATCGATTCAGCAGAAGCACTGTGCACAAGGCAGGATACAAACTGGTCGTCACTCCATCACAGGGCACACACAGACACAAACACGCACACAATCATATTTACAGAAGCCATTTACCTATCGGCAAGCATGTCTTTGGACTGTGGGAGGAACACAGGGAGAACATACAAACTCCACGCGGATAGCATCCCAGGAATTATTACCCAGGACCCCAACACTGGGGCAGAAATGTGCACCACTGTACCACCATACCGCCCTGTACTAGGAACACGATAGTTGATTCATAAATACATTGAGTCAGCAGTCGGAGTGTGCACCTTTGTCTTGCTTCAGGCATCAAAATTAATTAAGCACTATGCACCAATCACTTCAAAAAAACACATACAGTACGGGGTTTTTTCCAAAATTGGTAAGACAACACATTGCACTTAATGACAGGCCACAAGTCACCACGAGTCATTAAGATACCTCTCCAAGATCAACGATCAACACACCCTCCCAGAGTGGGACTGATGGCAGCCTGACTGCACCGCAGGGTCCCGGGACGCCCCTGGCTGCCCTTCCTGCAGGCCCATCCTGTCGCGACGCCACTCCTGCGGGACAGCACCTGCCCCGGTGCTGCTCGAGGAACAAGAAGGGTTGTCCTGTGAGATGGGTGAGCGTGACGGTTATGCTGTGGATGTCAGCTACCCTGTGCCCTGGTGAACACAGCTCGGGCTATCTAACAAGCCAAGACACGGTTAATAGACACGTCACTGCCAAGTACAGAAAAGCAAAATGACGGCTCTTCTTACTTACAACTTTGTTTCTCATCCCTGTTAAAATAAAAAAAGCAACTGGAACAGGTAAAGGTTTATTCCATGCTGTAAGGAAAAGAAAACAGAAACTGTGGAGCCTTCTTCAGGTGTTAATAAGTAGGCTTCACAGCTGAAACGTTGCATCTCTTTTTTCACAGCATGGAAAAAAACCTCCCCCTGTTTCTTTGCAGCCTACGCATGCTGACGCAGCTCCCTACTTTCACTGAGCTACACCGTGTGTAGTGGGCATTAGTGTAATATTATAGGAATGTAGAAACATAGGAAATCAAACTCAATGCTTTAACTTTTGAATGGACAGTTAATTTATGACTATTAAGGTCAATGCAAGGAGGAGGTTCACCAAGTTAAAGCAAACTCGGAAAGTCAAATTCCACCAGATTTCTTCTTCAGGGGACACTTCTGCACATCTGTAACGTCAGCACTGAACTGGACCCATGATAAAAAACAGTCGATCTGAAAATTACTCGGTAACTCACATATACATTACACATATCATGCTTAATTCACTCGGAGAATCTACCCCCCTATTTTCCCAAATGTCACAATTCTTCCATTGTCCTTTCTTTGTGCTGACAGGTATTTGAACTGCACATTCTAACTCGCCTTCCCAATTAGTACCTTCCAGCCCTACTTGGAGCTTAAAAGAAGAAGCAGACCTCTTTAACAAGCATTCCCTATTCACAAATGCACTAGCAGTTTACCCACAGCTGCCCTGGCCCCTGACCCCTGGAGCAAGAAGGGTCACCGGAGGGGGTCAGGGGTCAGCGTTCCTCTCATTACCCCGGACAGCCCACATGAACCCTGCACCCCCACTGCTGCAGAGGGACACTAGCAGTTCAGGTTCAGGAACGGTGGGCTCTATCGAGGAACGCAGAGGGGGTGCATGAATGAGGAAGGGGTACATGAACAAACTCTCCACTCTTATCCCACCTGTACAGGAAACCGACACCACAGGGGCCGATACTGTAGCTGGCAGTGTTCATTGCTCAGTGACACCCTGGACAGGGGACCGGAAAACCAAAGGTCTCGGAAGGGTAGTGTGCCTGCAAGGCCAGTTCCTGAATGGGGAAAGCAATTTCCAAAAGTGAATTCAGAAGCTACGTACAGCAGATACCAGCTAAAACACTGCAGAGAAAGACTTCTTAAAATTATCCGAATTCCTCCAGGAATAGGTCATCCCTATTCCTCCCCATGTAGGTCATCGCTCACAATTCAGTGGTTTTCCCCTTGGTCACGAAGCATTTAGGACCAAGGAGAACTGAAAATGAAGAACTCTCCTGCCAGTTTTTGTCAGATAGTTATAGTGAGGGTTTACTGTAGCTTAACTCTGTATTTGTAGATAGACTTCTAAGTTCACAATGTAGGCTGTGACATGGCCTTTTGAGAGGCTCAGGTCCTCCAGTTAAGGGAAGCTGCACTGGCTCTCCCTGCAGAATGAGCCACAGATCAGTAGATGAGAGATTCCCTTGTACACTCCAGATCCCATGGGAAAAAACTGGGAGTTCGCGGTAGAAATGGGGGGGGGGAGATTCTGCACTAAGGGCTGGAGGATTCCATCACACCGGTGCAAAGGAACACTTTGTAATTAACACAATTCTCAGGCTCTGTTCTGACAGCAGCCCTGGCCCTGCCCCCACTTCGACACCCCTGCTGCTACAATAGCACGGCAGCATAGGTGTCAGAAACTGCCTGGGAGAGAAAAAAAATGGTATCCCCCCCCCCCAGAGTCTCGCAGTTTTTGAAAAAAAAAAAGGACAGTGATGACTGGCCCACCACCCTGCTCACCCCTCCTTTCCCAGTCCCCATCTCCTCTCCCGCTCTCCCATCGGGCTGACCCACCCACACACCCTCGGTGTGCCACAGAGCCGCTGACAGATGGCTCTGAAGGGCTGCGCGCGAGTGACAGCCCAGTCCAGTGTGGCTTTGTCGAAGCTTTAATTGATCCCCGTCCCATTGTGCAGCCACTCTGTGCCCCGCTGCCACAAAGGCCCTGACAAGTGCTGCGCGCTGGGAACAATCTTGCAAAGGCCTGGACTCTTAGATGTGAGTGATCGCTTAGCAAATGACCCCCCCCCCCCCCCCCCCCACCCCCCCCCACTTCCAGCGCCACCCCCTGTTTTGTCTTTCATGATGTCTTTCTT